AAAAGATACAACATGAACAACTCCAAGAAAAAAAATGTTCCTTTCAGGCACGGAGTCACTCTCTCCAATGGTATGTCTCCAAAGACTCCCAAGGAGATTGAGAGCATGAGAGAGGTTTCCTATGCCTCAGTTGTAGGGAGCATCATGTATGTCATGTTGTGCACTCGGCCAGACATTGCTCAGGCCGTAAGTATGGTAAGCAGATACCAAGTCTAAACCGGGACAACAGCATTAGACTGTTGTATAGAACATACTCAAATACCTTTGAAGGACAAAAGAGTTTTGTCTAGTATTCGATAGTAATTCACTACAGATCCTAGGGCATACGGATGCCGATTTGCAGTCATATCCAGATGATAGAAAGTCTACATCTAGTTACATCTTTACGATTAGGGTCCTGTGCAGTTAGCTGGAGCAAACAGGGGTCTACAGTAGATTCCACAACCGAGGCCGAGTACATTGTCACAAGTGAAACTGCCAAGGAAGCCATTTGGATGAAGAAGTTTATTCAAGAATTAGGAGTAGTTCCGTTCAACACATCACCCATTCCACTGTTGTGTGACAACATTGGAGCCATGGCTCAGGCTAAGGAGCCACGAGCCCATTCGAAGTCGAAGCACTTCGAGAGGAAGTACCACGTACTACGGGAGATTGTTAGTGGAGGGGACGTTTAGATTCAAAAGGTAGCATCAGCGAAAAATGTATCAGACCCATTGACTAAGACACTAACACAGAAAGTGTTTGAGAAACACGTGGAAAGTATAGGACTCCGGCTTGTACCCGATTAGACCTAAGTACAAGTGGGAGTTGTTAGATAGTATATGCCCTTAACTCCAATCAACTTGATGTACATTATGATATTTATTGTAAATGAATAAAGTACATATTTGATTCATGTTATATTTGTGTGTTTTTGTGTAATACCCTTAAACTTGACACTTATGAGACTCATGTTAGTTTAGAATCTTCACAACCGTTAGATAGATTTGAGGAGATTTATCCTATCAAGACTAACACTGATGTGCTGCCAAGTTGGGTAGGGTGGCTTGTCTCAGTTGCTAGAATGAGACCTAAGGCACATGTAGTGTGGGTTTTTTTGAAACCCTGAATCGAACCAAATTCTAGTATCGCCCTGAACCTTGGAGATAATGGGCAAAACTGGAATGTTACACTTGACCCCTAGACTCGATTATGGTACTACATTAAGTGTTGGATTGGGTTGTCTTTGATATGCCAATCAATGAGATCCTTAGGAGGGTCAAAACCTGGGTATGTTGGGGCAGTCTGAGAATTCACCTGAGTGGGTGATTATAGTGACAGGATCAGCCCCTTTGTCAGACAAAGTGAATAATCGATGAATGCACTCTCTCTGATGGAAACCTAAACTACCGACAGTTGATTTCAAATTGTTGAGATTTGTTTTTGCAAAATATATTTGTATAAAAATATACATATATATTATGGTTTCACAAAATGTTTGCAAAAGAGTTTTAATTCCCGGGATCCATGTGAGTAGAGAGTGCAACATTGTACCTTGCAGCCGAGAGAGATATCCTCTCTTGTTGGGTAGTGTTTGATCATTATGGGCTGAGAGGTTAAGTGTAAGACCATTTAGGGATGTTTGCAATATTGTACCTTGCAGCCGAGGGAGATGTCATCTCTTGTTGGGTAGTGTTTGATCATTATGGGCTGAGAGGTTAAGTGTAAGACTATTTAGGGATAATAAACTTGATGGGCTAATCTCACATCTGCCCACAGTTCTTAGGCCTTCATAAGATGGTTGGACCCAAGGGCCATTTAGTCTAAATGTTGGGCCCATTAAGAGCCCATACTAATGGCCTTAGGGGTTCACTATATTCAATAGTGAATTCGGCTAGGCCTTGTAACAAAGGTTGGGCTGAACTCATGTGGCTGATGTGAAGATCAATGATGGGGTCCCACGCCATACAAAGAGAACCAAACTAGCAAGCACTTAAAGGGAAATGAGCCTGAAAGCTTAATGGGCCTAAAGCCCAATTCGAACTAGGCTTAATATGATTAATTAAATAGGGGGCGAACCTGGGTATGGATCAACAAAAAAGGATAGGAGGATAACTCTTATCCACTTAGAGAGTCCAGATCCGAATAGAGATTTGGATTAGGAAACTTCTAATTTGATTAGGAGTAGTTGATCTTGATATGTAGATAAGATAAGGGATAAGCCTTATCACTTAAAGAGTTCAAATCCAAATAAAGATTTGGATCAAAATCAAGAAATTCCTAATCAGATTAGGAGGTTAACTCTTTAATGGTTATATAAAAGGAGGAGGGCGAACTAGAAAATGGTTACATAGTTCTACTACTTTCTGCATTCAGTTCTCTCTCCCTCTACTCTTGCCACCCTACCTTATTCGATCTCCACCTCTTGGAGTGATCAAGATTGGATTTTGATAGTTTCTTGGTAGAAGGAACAATCTTGAAGCTGTGTTTACAACCCTATTTGATTATTGCTGAAGAATCTGAGGTTTTTGCTGAAGAACCCCTTGCTGATTCTTCCTCACCCTAAGCTATGTCATTTTCAGTGGTGGAAGGATTTGGTAACCTTTTTAGGCGTGAACACCTACATTGGGAGGAATTTTTGTGTGGATTCCATATCAGGTATACCTCTCCCTAATCTTGGTACATATTTGGTCTGATTTGTTTCAAGAATGAACCTTAAAAAAAGTAGTTTTTTTAAATCAAGGAATATGATTCCTAGAAGGGAGAAAGAAATTTTTGAAATTTCGCCCAACCACCCTGCATGGTTCGGCCATCCATATGATGGATCTCCCTTCCCTTTACAATTCAAAACCAATTCTAAGTAAAAGTGGAATTAGATGAAAACAAGGCACAAATTATTGTTTTGTTTATAATTGAAACAACAATGCCTTAAAAACGAATTTGTGGGGAAACTATTTGGAAAAGCATCAAATTATAGTTTTGGGTAGAAACAACAATTTCTTAACCTGGATTTTATTTGTTTTATAACAGAAGACATTTAAGATATCAATCAAAATAGGTTAACAGATTCGAGCCTGGATCTGTTTCTCATGACGCTGGCTGTAAAATGCTATGTAACCCATCAGTGTTTTGTTTTTGCATATTAAGTGTGGCCCCATGTGTCTTCTATGTTGAGTGTTGGTCCCATGATTGATTATGTAGAGTTTTAAGCACAACAAATTGGGATCTGCTCTCACACAATGCTCCTCACACCGATCTCACAAGCAGATCCCCTCATGTATCGGGAGCATTCTCATACTTGTGTGTTATTATATTCATGATAGATATTCCCAATGTATGGTAGGATTTTCCTGTGATGTATGCTCTGTGAGGAGTAGATTTGAACAACAGATCTCAAGGTTTCTAAAACCCATGGAACCGTTCTGAGGACCGGTTCCTGGGTCAAACAGTCTGATTGTCCGTCTGATTTGAATGGATGGCCCATTCTAACTTTAAAAAATAAAAAATAAAAAATGACAAAAAGTGGTTTGATCACCTGCATCAATATATCGCTGACCAAATCAACGATTTTTAGCCAAAAGTGGTTTTAGGATGAAATAAAACCGATTACCTGATCTGTTCCTGGTTTTTCCAGATCCAGTCCGATTTTGAAAACCATAACAGATCCTGAGTAAACTTGTAATCCCTGCCCTAGGAGGAGGGGAGGGGGGGGGGGGTGAGGTAGATTGAAGCCCATGGGCTATGGAATGTATATTAGAGCGTTCAAAGCTCGGACACAGTGGGCCTTGTGTTATGTCAGTTATGGTAACATCCTGCCTTGCTGACTCCCGCCACAGGTTTTATATTACGTGACAAAATCAATCACTACAATCCTGCAGGGAAGTTCTAGGACTTCCATTTCTGTGGTTTCAGAGCCAACCTCTAGATTCCCACAATTTGAGTGGCTCATATAATTTGAGCGGAAACATTCGTGTAGCAACTAATAAATCAAAGAAAATTTATCTGGAATCTAGAAGATGAAATATTTCTACAAAGTAGTTTTCACGGTCCAATTCACTAAGTTATGGGCCCATGACAAGTGAATATTCAATGGGCTGTGACAAACTTTTGTCAGCACAGGGATCCACGATATGTTCTCTTTAAATTTACACCCATCTGACGGACGCCATGATCCAGAATCCATGGGCTTGAATCATGGTTTTAAAAAACGATTCAGAAATGGAATTATTCTGGTCACTAGTTTCTGGGTTGATAGTTCGATCATCTGATTTGAATAAATGATTTATTTCAACAAAAAAAATTAAAAAGATAAAAATAATTAAAAATAAAAAATAGCTACAAACTGTTAAATGAGTTACAAGATCAATGGTTCAACTGCTTAAATTAATAAATCATTGATTAATTTAACGATTTTTAATAAAAGACCAAATTTAGAAACCGATTACTTAAACGATTCACAAACCAAACGGTCTGACCATTCACATCAACGACAGTTCGAAAACCATAACCTGAATCTACTCAAATCCAAATCGCTTGTGATGTGCCAGAATCAACTTCTTACTCGGATCCTATCCCAATAATAGCTTGAATGCACCCTTTAAACCTAGATGGATCCTTGCTAATAACCATAGTAAATTCGACCCTTATTTATTATTTAGGCTGCATTTTGGTAAGAATGGAAAAAAAAAAGAAAAAATGGATACAAATTGGAAACCGATCCAACCAGATCCAAGTTAGGCTTTTTCTCTTTGGTCAAAATTTCAAGATTCAAGATTTCTTCTGGTTCCCAATTTGTTGAATGGGCGGCCCACTTTAGTTTTTTTTTTTCTTTTTTTTTCCATTTTAGTTGAAGATCTCAACCACCAATAATCATTAATCACATCTCAAATGAATCTTTTCTTTTTGTGGACTACATAGCTCAGTCCTCAGTTCCTCACGTAAATTAGACCCCTCAGATAGATCCGTAAGTTAATCAACGATCAACGGTCCTAAATAACAACTTATGTTTCTAAGATGTTCCGCGTGTCATCCATTATCTCCGGTTAATCAACTACGTATTAAAGCTTCTCACTTTGTCATCTTCAACTCGGAGAGAAACCAGATCGATTGATTTCTATCTTTTTCAATCGCTTTGTTCTTCCCAACTAAATCCAGTCATGGCTTCTGTAAATAGTGTTGCAGCCCCAAGATTTTTTGCCGTCGCAAAACCCGTCAGAGAATCGAAGTCCAGATTATTTAATTTCGGTGTAAAAGGTGCCTCTGGTTCGTCTTTGCAGAGTTCTCCATCGAATTCGAGTTTCTTGAGAGTAAAGAGTAGAGGACGGGTTGTGCGATCCGTAGTAGAAGAGTTCGACGTCATTCCAGTTCGGAGTAGTGATTCGACAGACCTGCAGAACGGAGTGGTAGCTCGAATTGAAATAGAACAGGAAGGTGGGAGCTCGAATCAGGTCGGTGGGTTCGCAAACGAGGGTAGGTTATCGCTCGAGGGAGCTGGAGAGTTTCAAGGGTTCTCTTCGTCTTCTTCGTCTGTTCTTTCGGATGGGAAGGGAGAAGAGGATGATATTGATAAGTTAATCGACAGAGCAATTAACGCTGCAATCGTTCTCGTTGCTGGTACCTTCGCTATCACTAAATTGCTCACCATTGACCATGACTACTGGCATGTAAGTAATTCCATTTCGCGATTTGAATTGTAATTACCATACGGGTTTTCGTAATTATAGTTACAAGAACTTAGGCAACCAAAAATGGTTTTCTTTTAGCTCGTTTTTCCCCCAACCCCAAGAAGAAAAAAAAAAAAAACCTTTTGGTTGGGTTTGTTTCAACGTAAAATGGACGAAAAATTTATCAGGTTGAAACGTGTGAGCTATATTTTCATCCCTTTAAAGGACATCAAAAGAAATTAGAAGGGAATGAAAGCTGTAAAAGGGGTGGAAATAATAGCTGAATTTTTCAGTCTGAAAAACTTTACGTCCATTTTATGGAGAAATAAACGGAGCCATGATTCTCACATGAACAATAACAATGGAATTCAGCAATTAATTTCCTTTTTCTATTTGTGGAGCAATCTTTCTGTTTTTTCGGTCAGTTGAGGGTCTTTACTTCTTTCTTGTAATTCCTACACATTTCTATTTTTATTCATACTTTTACCTGATGTTTTACATCAAATACGTCTGAGCCTTATGTTTTTTTTTTTTTTTATTCAAGGAAACTTCATTACTGATTAACTAAAATATTTACCATGCACAATTTTCTTCTGTGCAAAAGTTTTGCAGTAAAACATGCATGGTATGCTAACTTGTGAGTATTTTTCTCAATTTGGTCTTCGTTCTACTAAAACTGTATGTGAGGAGTTTGACCTTGTTTGTTTCCACCCTTCCTGAAAACGACATAAGAATTATAACTGAAATCAGAATGAACAATTTCTTACTTGATTTTGAACATCAGAACTCATATTTTCTTTATTTCTTAGGGATGGACTCTTTATGAGATACTAAGATATGCGCCCCAACACAACTGGAGTGCTTATGAGGAAGCTCTTAAAACAAACCCCGTTTTAGCTAAAATGATGATCAGTGGGGTTGTCTACTCTCTAGGAGATTGGATTGCACAGGTAAGCCTGTATCTTACAGGAAACTCCTTTTCTTGTTCATTTGTTTATTTATTTACCTTCTGATAATGGTCTTATAAATTTGCAGTGCTATGAAGGGAAACCTCTTTTTGAGTTTGACAGAGCACGCATGTTCAGATCAGGCCTTGTTGGATTCTGTCTTCATGGCTCCCTTTCTCATTATTATTACCAGTTCTGTGAGGTGAGTACTCATAGATGTGTTTCTTAGAGCTGTTTGTTCAACTTATTAGTTGACTTTTTGCTTAAACCTAACAGAGTCTTTTTTCAGGCACTTTTTCCTTTCCAGGAATGGTGGGTGGTCCCTGCTAAAGTTGCATTTGACCAGACTGCATGGTCGGCAGTTTGGAATAGCATCTACTATGTAATATTGGGATTCTTGCGATTAGAATCACCTGCCAATATTTTTAGTGAACTCAAAGCAACATTTTGGCCCATGCTAACTGTAAGAAAATTATTTGCTATCCCTGCTTCCTTTCTCTATTGATTTGTTTTCTATGGGAAATGTTAGACGAAGAAACCTGGTTGTAAATTTTCTTTTTGCACACTTCTATTATCAAAACCATAATTTTTTGGACATTGTTTATATATATTTTTATTCTTTTCTTCATTGTTCAAAAGAATGACAGCTTTGACGCTGCAACCTACCATCACCCAAAAAGATCAAATTTTTATTAAAAGCAATGGTAACAATAATTTTGTTGTAGAATTATTACTTAGAATGGATTCCTAGCATCTGAGCCATCTAAAAATGCATTGAGCTGATAAAAAAGGATGGTCCTCAGGAGTCAGGACTGTCCCAACACTGCTCTTCTTTGTAGGCATTGGTGCTTTGTGCGGTTTCTTATCCATCACTACTTGAGTTATCAGTGCAATAGATGGAATCATGGGATAATGAGCCCAGCATTCCAGAAGTTAGTAAATATCAGATTAATGTTTAAAGGCTTCATGAATAATATAGTATTTTATACCAATCAAGCAATATATGTATATTTATGTATGTATGTATGTATGTATGTATGTATAGAAGTTTTATTTTGAGTCGATTCAATTGAATCTAGGTTTGGGTATGGTAGGTAGTTGATCTCTTATTTTACCCAAGAAATCTAAATGCATATCCTGAATACTCAGTTAAGTTGGTCAAGTACTTCGAACATGGCTATGTATCAGGATATAAGTCCCATATGCTTGACAGATGTTCAGTCAGGAACTTTCTGAATCCAAGTAGAATTTTGAACTTAAAGACTTACTATTTAGACAAGATTAAAGATGGTAAATGTGAACTTATTAGTTAGGGTAGTTTCAAGAAAAGATTCCAATAGCTTTGCCAATGTGCTGACAATAATTGCATTTGGTTCTTTAGTTTAAGAACACTAGTGCATGTATGGGAAGTTATGCAACTCAAATCTAACATATAGCTCTGATATGGTTGGTTTCCCAACTATTGTCTCTGTGAACATGGGCTAAATAATCACATAATGTTATATAAGGCATATATTGCACTTTCTATATGTGTTTCTATGTATGCAGGCATGTACTTGTACATAGTTAACATTCTTTATGGTCATTTCCTTGACAGGCTGGTTGGAAGCTTTGGCCTTTTGCTCACCTGATCACCTATGGTGTGATCCCAGTTGAACAAAGGCTTCTTTGGGTGGACTGTGTGGAGCTCATTTGGGTGACCATACTTTCAACGTAAGTATCTAACAGATTCACTAGGACTGTTGAAGATCAATCAAAAGAAATCTAACTGGGGCATCCCGATTTCTCATAAAAAGATGGTATTAAGTTAGGATAATTAGAAGCACACTTACCTATCTATTAGAAGATTCTATTTATCATTTATTGTTCTTGGTCTGATCCATTCCTGTTTATCAATGTTCATGGATTCAGAGATTATAAGCTTTCCCATCAGGTAGATACAGTCTGGTAATCTATGCCCTCATGCTTTCAATGTGGGGGCCCCACTGCGGCATATTAGTAATTTTCACTATCAGTCTAGGATATACATCACTGATTAAGAAACCATCATCATCATATTCTTTGGTGGTCAGAAGTTATATAGCATTGAGGTTGTTAAGTAGGAGATCTATCATTGCACAATCACAACCTAACTGGAAATATTCTGCTGAAGAGTGAAGAGATCCATCATTGATGGCTAGAAGATGTACAATGGGTAATCCACAAAATAATGTTTCAATTATCTGACTGCAAATTGGGAATATTCTGCTGAAGAGATCATAGTGGGAATGATTAAGGGGGTCTTCTCCAACATGAATCATTTTAGTTGTTCTCATTTCAAGAATGGGCTCTACAAATGGTTTGAATAAACAATATTTTCTTAAAACTAGAAGATATCAGATTTGTTCTTGGTTGCGTAGTGTTTTACTTTTTTTCTAATCCCAACTATATGGTTTGGCTACATAAATCCTGTTTCACCATTCCATTCTATTTAATGCCATGTCCAGTCCACTGTTAAATTATGAGCACTTAAATCATTTCTTACTATTTCGACCCATGTTCTTTTTCATCTGCTCCTACTTCTAGCCCCCTCAACTTGCAACAGATCACTTCTTATGGGTGCTTTCGATGGTCTTCTATGCATGTCACTGAACTATCTTAGTTTACTTTCTCATTTTACCACCTATTGGAGCTACTCGTAGGTTCCTTCGAATGACTTCAGTTCCAATCCTATCTTTTCTAGTTTTTCCACTAATCAATTTTAGCATAGCATTTCTGTCACACTCATTTTTTTGGATATGTTGCTTTGTGATTGCCCAACATTATGCTCCATAAAGTATATCTGGCCTTACAACTGTTAGAATTTTCCTTTTGATTTGTATGGTATTTGCCTACAACATAAGACTCTAGATGACCACCTCCATTTTACCCATCCTGCTCTAATTCTATGGGCATTATCTTCCTCAATCTCTTCCTTGTTATGAATTATTGAACCAAGACACCGGAAAAGGTCACTTGAGTTATCTCTTGGTCTCCAATCCTAAGTGTACCATGATTTTACTCCTCTTATTATTAAATTTTCATAGCATATATTCTATTTTCTCCTACTTATTTTAAAATTTATAATTCTAAGGTATCTGTGCATAAACTTAATTTTGCATTTATCCTTCATTAGTTTCATTGATTAAAACAGTCATGGAGAACAACAAGCACCATGGACCTCCTGAATATGTTTAGTCAATTCATCTATGATTAGTGCAAATTAATAAGGGTTAAGTGTTGAACCCTGGTGAAGAATCATAGTAACTGTAAAATCTGGTGTTTCTCCTACAAGTGTTCTAAAATTGGTTGTTGCATCCTTGTACATATTCTTAATTAGGTCTATGTATTTATTTGGGATTCCTTTCTTTTCCAAGACCTATCATATTGTCTCTCTAGGGACACTATCATATTTCTTTTTGTGTCCTTTGTTTATACTTCATACCCAACTCCATTCATGTGTGAATTGGAAATATCCATATGAGCTTTAAAGCAGATTTGTAAGAGGATCTATGGGAGATTTTGGTGTGTGTGCTACACACAAACAGTAAGCCGTATCAACTATGGAAATGCAAACATGTTTTCATTGCTTTCAGAAACAAGTCGTTTTTCTTAAATCAAATTGGAAATATTCACTTTATTTTGAGAAAACAAATGTCCAATAACACATTTTTGTTTTATTGGTTGATGTGGCATTTTCTAGAAAGAAGAAAAAAACATTCATGTTAGAGAATAACTCCTAAATTGTTGACCTCCTAATTATGTGACATGTTAGAACAAAATATAATTGGTTCCTTTGGCATGTGCAAGTAGGAGATATCCCCGTAAAGTTTATCAGCAGTATTTGTTGATGTCTGATAGAAATTGGTGATTTGGGTGGTCACCACTCTCAGGCTGGGGAAACCGTGGGTATTTTGGATCTCCTTGGTTGGACCTATTGCATTATGGGTGCTTTGCCCCTTCATTCCTTTATGTGCGTTATGTCAATGTCCATGCTATTTTCTATTAACTGAAGGATAAAGAAAAAGGAAATGGATATTAGTTGGATAACATCTCCGCCAACTATACTGATGCATTATCTTCTTGGATATATGCCTAATTTCATGACCTTTTTCAATTTGTTAGTTATTCAAATGAGAAATCAGAAGCAAGGAATTCCGAGGCTTCCTTAGAAACAAAATCCATTTCTCCATTACCGGGTGCTGAGGTACCGTATTGGATCTTTCTTACTCTTTCCAGGTAAAACATGTAGGACAGAAAGCTAACATGCTCATTTTTCTGGCTTTTAATTAGCAGGAATAAATAACAAGGGGAACATAGTGGATCGTAAATAGTAGCTGAAAGAGTGATCTTCAAGTCCATTTGGTAGACTCTAGCTCAAATTCAAATTCTCAGTGGTGAGGTGATGCAGCCGGAGGAATTACTATTGTTCATCCACCTATAAGACATGTCATCTGTATGTGATGTAAAGCTATATCCCATTTTTATCCCCATGTATGAAGGACAATTTTGTCCCAACTTAAGTGATCAAATGTAACAAGGTCATGATAATGGAGAGAAATTTCTTTCAGAATTATGTTTCTGCTTTGGTAAATAGAACCCTTACTTTTCTTTGCTGCATCATTACATGGTCTCTTTTCTTCAGAACGTGATACAACTTTGAAAGTATTAGTTCTCCAGCTTAAATGTATTTTGACTATTTTCTAAAGTTCTTTTCATCTTTACCCCAGCATCCAATCACTTAACTGCCAATTGGGTGAACCACCGTGCGTCTGCTCCCATGTCCTTAGGCCATTCGGTAGTATGTACAGCAAATGAATTTAATTTCCAGTAACATTTTTTACTAAAATTTGAAATAACATTCAAAAGAAAAGGATCAAATGCAATGGTATATGGTCGTTTGTTGGAAGATATCAGAGCACAAGGAAAGATTGATCACCTCATTACCAATAATCCATGCATGAACACCTTCCACTCCTAAAATGATGAAACCGGCGCTGATCTCTAACAACAATTTCACGATTATATATCTTGGATACCATTTTCATGAAAACATGACAGTCACTGCACATACGAAGGTTCTTAACCACATGAAGAGGAGTTCCATGTAAACTGTTAATAAGACCAAATGCAATGGCCAATTTTTCACTGTGGTGATAAATTGCCACTTCCTTCTCTTCATCATCCATGTCGAACAGCACCAGCTTTTTCTGGGGCACATATCCCATTGACTTCAGCTTGTCAGCAATTTCATTTAACATGTTATGGATCTCTTCCATCCTTGGATGTGATCTATCTCCTACAAGGAACTCATGAACTGTGCCCCCCAACTCAATGAAACTGAAACCAGGTTCTTTCCTTACTTTGCCATCGTTCATCATCTTCCTGATCATGACTGCATCCCTGGACCGACCTACTGCATCATATATGCTTGACATCAAGACATACGTGCTACTGTCGTTTGGGTTAATTTCGATTAGTTTGCGAGCTGCAAACTCACCAATCTCTACATGACCATGTATTTTGCAGGCTCCAAGCAGTGATTTCCAGATTACATCATCAGGTTTTATGTCCATATCACTGCATATTACCTTCTTTGCTTCTTCCAGTCGTCCAGCTCGGCCAAGAAGATCAACAATGCAACCATAGTGTTGCAGTTTTGGTGTCATCCCGTATACATCCTTCATGGCAGCATAAAAGCCAAGACCTTCATCAATTAGGCCTGAATGGCTGCAAGCGTTAAGGACAGATGCAAGTGTAATGTCATCGAACTCTAAATTTTCTGCTTGCATTTGAGAAAATAGCTTTATGGCATCCTTTCCCCGGCCATTGATAGCCAGCCCAGCTATCATGGCATTCCATAACTCAACGGTTTTATCTTCAGCCATAGTGAAAACTTGCTGAGCGAGCTCTATACATCCACATTTTGAATACATGTCTATGAGTGCGGAATTAAGGGTAGCATTCATCCCAATCTTTCTTCTTTTCGCATACGTGTGAATCCATTTTCCAAGACCAATAGCTCCCAAATCTGCGATTGCAGGAAGCACTGTCACAATAGTAACATAATCAGGTTCAACGTTCTCTGACTGCATCGTTCGAAATAAATCTAAGGCATCTTCAAATATGCTCTTTCGGACCAATCCTGCGAACAGGGGATTCCAAGAAGCCACGTTTGCTCGAGATGGGTTACTTTCAAAAACATGTACAGCTTGCTCTAAGCAATCACATTTCGAATACATATCTACGAGAGCTGAAGACAACAGACCATCCACCTCTATCCCTGCTTTGAGAATAAAGGAATGAACACATCTACCCAGTAATGCGCAACCCAAATCTGCAATTGCCGGAAGGATGCTCAGAAAAGTCACTTTGTTGGGTATTAACGCAGTTTGATTTAGTGCATCTATAAAGGTCTCGAGTGCCTTCTCAGAGAAACCATTACGTGTGTAGGAAGTAATCAAGGAATTCCAAGAGACAATATCGCGTTCAGGCATCTCATTAAACTGCCCCACTGCAGCCTCGACATCCCCTTGTTTTCCATATCCAGAAATCATAACATTCCAAGAAACTACATTTCTCATTGGCATGGAGTCAAATAACTCTTTGGCATCATGCATCTTTCCAAATTTTGCGTACCCATCAACCAAGGTGGTCCAAGAAACAACATCCCGATGAGGTGTTTCATCGAACAATTTACGTGCATCTCCTAAAGCACCGTTAATAGCATAAACATGTATAAGAGAATTGATAAAATAGATATTAGAAGAACCCAATTTAACAATGTAGCTATGCAGCTGTTTTGCTTCTTGAACTGTATACCGATTTGAACGACCCTCGACAAAAAACGAAGTGGCTGGGTGTGGTTCCTCAACCACTAACGGTGGTCTACCAGAGGCAAATGGAGGAAGATTATTTACCACTGAGCGAGTATGGAGGTTACCACCTGGACACGTCGGGCGTATGTTTGAATTTGAAACATGAGAAGGAGCGATGGTCAAATGGCGAATGTTTAGGAGGGTATTGAAGATGAGTAACATGAGATGCAGTGGCGGGAAATTACGGAGAGGATATGCAACCACAAAAGCTTTACTAAGAGGAGGACGGACAACTCTGCGACTACGAGGCTGCGATCAGTTGCTGGAAATCCATTTTGATTTATTTTGGACCGTCTGATCCCAATCAAAAGTGGGTCCCAACGAATTACAGGAAGAATCCAGGTTCTGGGCCGTCATTACTTGTCTCGTGTCGTGTGTCAAGCAGGTATAGTAAAACCACAAAAACCAGGATGAATGAGGGCCCAGATCTACGATTCTGCCGTTCTGCGTATAAAGGGTTCTGAGAAGGAAAGCCCGAATCTTCGAAAGCGCATTAGATATCTGGGATCTGAGATATAGATTTTAATGGCAAAACTAGAACTGTTAGAGGAGAGTAGGAAGAAGAAGAATCATGGATCTACAAAGTTCTTCATTTTTATTGACTATCTGTTCCTCTTCATTTTCTTCGGGTTCCTGGGTTTCTTCCTCTTTAAGATGGCCGGGTTCTGATCTCACCAGAAAAGAACACGAGATACAGGGAGAGAGTGCGAATTTTCTTTAGCATTTTCTTCTGGATCTGATGATGGAACAAGGTAATTGATTTTCTTCCTCGTTTTTCTGCTTCTGATTGTTATGTACTACAGCGAATTCATGTTTCTGACTAGTTATGACTGATTCAGTTTACCGATCCTAGAAGTTAAGGCATATATTTGCATTGTCGTAATATGCTTCTGGATATCAGCTTCTTGTTTTGTGATTGATGTATATAGACTATAGAGCTTCTTGTTATAATAGCTTTTAGAGCCGGATGTTTCATTTTCAAAGGAGCCCTTGATATTTAGATCTGCATTTGTTAACGTTCAGAACTTTTAGTCTTTACGCTGAAAGTGCTGGACCTCCAGATTGCCTTCGCTCAATGCCCACTATGCAGTCAGCTGTCCCTGTTTGTTTATTTGTGGGTGAGACTTGAGAGTAATAAGCCAAAGACTGGTTATGAACTTCGGGAGGGCTTTCACTCTGCGGCTTTTAGCTTTGCAAGGTGGGGCGCCCCCTGAAAGCCTATAAGAAATGCTTGGTAAAAGAAATTTTAAAAGCCAGTTTTGGCCATCATACAGCTATTTACACTGCTCTCCGTACAAGCCTCTCTCAGTGGCTTCTTCAAAGCAACTGATCCAAATAAGCATCTTCAACTCATAATAAGCATTATTCACCAAGAAGCCCCAATACATGACCTATTTTATTTCTGTAACATTGATGAATGATGTGGTGAATGCAACCATCCCAGTAGGGGACCCTCTGAATTAATGGCATTATTAATCCTTCAGTTTACATCATCCTTGTATGCCACCATGCGTTGGTAGTTTTTTCGAATTAAAGTTAGGCAGTTCAGTTAGCTGTTTAAACTTTTAATTTTTAATACAGGACTTGCTCTGATGAAATTGACTTGTTTTGAACACCTGGGAAGTGGGAGGGTAAGTTGAACCAAAATTTGTTTCGAACATATAGGGTGAATACAGGAGTCCTATTGGGCTCCAAAGTCCAAGCAATTTTGCCATGTAGAAGATTCCTGGCTCCAAAGTCGAAACAATTTAATTTCCACTGCTGGTGCACCCATGTTTCTTTGGGGGTTGCAATGGTTGCAGCAGATGTGAGCTCTCAAACTGGTTTCTGATCAGGTGAGGCATGAAGCTTGCCTATATGACCTACGGTCCTATGCTGTTCTATCCATGTGGAAGATTCATGCAATTAATCCAGTGCATTCATCAGACGGGATCATCTAGATTGGCCATGCATTGAATCCTTCAGTCCATGTCAGGTCTATTCCAACCTGGAATGGAGTTTTGTTTGATTAATAATAACCCTCTATTATTTTAATTTCTAATTTAAAAGTTGCCATAAAAGGCAACTTATCCAAAACACATTTGCCATGGACCTAGGATGATGAGAGGAATTCAAGAATTTCCTTTTGAGATCCAAACTAACTTTCCATGTGGAAGATTCATTAGTTATTTAGTTATGTAGGAAAATCACTAAACAATATAAAAGGCTACCTAATAAGCCTATGGTTAGAAGTATATGAGGCCATAGTTGTCAAGGTGTCGCCTAGGTGACTAGGCGCCCTTGGCTGGGCACCTTGCTCAAACACCTTGACTTATAGCAACTAGGCACCCACCTTGGCAACTAAGCACCCACCTAGGTGACAAAAATGACAAGGCAGGTGCCTTATATAATATTATTTATATTGTTGTATCTTATTAGTATGTGTGTTAATACATTTTATTATATGCTATATCTATTATTTATGCTTTGTTTTAATGTTTTACTATTGAAATTTAAAAGATAAAAGGGTTTTGAGGAGAGAAAAAGAAAGAAAAAAAGAATAGAAGTATAAAGAGGTTCTTTTTTTCTATTCTCTCTCTCTAATTAAATAAAACAGAAATTCCATCCTTGTTTTGTTTTTTTTTTTTTTTTTTTTTACTTTCCATCTTGAATATTTATCATATAGTCCCATTTCAGTAAGTTACTTACCCAGGTAATTGTTTCCCAGGAAAGATTTACCCGGGTAAGTGCATTTACCATGTTCTTTTATTTCCCATGTAAATAAGGCAATGACCATTTTATCCATAAAAATCCATTATTACAAGTGGCATTTTTGTCCCTTTCAAGTGTTGGCAACTTTCCTCCAAGGTGGAAAAGTTATTTATCCACCTAGGAAATGGGTATCACTTACCCGGGTAAGTGATACCCAAGAAAATAAACTTTCCCTGGTTCCCACATAGATCTGAAAAAAGAACATGGGATTTTTGGTCAATGGGAATCAAAATCCCATTGACCAACTTTCCCCCTCTCAAAATCCAGAAAAAAAACACCCCCATAAAGTTAAATAACCTTCTTTAGCTGCTTATTGATATGAAATTTCTCTGTTAAATACTTTTTTTTTTTGAAAAGGTACAGTAAAGTATTGTATTGATTATTTAACAGTATAAAGTTCTGTACAAGAGGCTGTACAAAATCCACATTAAAGCCCCCCAAAAAAAATTCACCCTCAAAAAAGAACCTGAACAAAACACATCTTTAAAAACATTAGAAATAGACAACCAACTCCTCAGCTCTATTAAATACTTGTTATAGTAGTATTATTTTTGAAAATAATGAAATTAATATATGTAAAAGATTTTTTATCTTTTAGATGTAATGATTTGTCAGATTTTTAGTGGAAATTTAATGTTCTTAATAAAGAGAATTGCTAATTTTCAATTAATATACATGCTGAACTAATTTAAAAGTTAGTTCTTTATATTATAACATTCTTTTTGCCTAGGCGTCTTCTAAGCGCCTCAGTGTTTCCCAGAATCACCTAAACGGCTTGAAAGGTGCCTCTGGGGCCAAGTTGGTTGACTCTTTGGTGGAATTCAGATGTGGTGCTATTCCAAGAGTCAAAGTTGGAGGTGGTTGATCGTTTGGTGGTTAGAATTGTCTAGGGCCAAGGTCAAGTGCGGTGGGTGAGTAAGCTGGTGCAAGGGAGGGTAGGGGGTTCCTGATCATGTGAGATTGCTTGAAGTGCAAGCTGTTGTCATCACACTTAAGTAAGTTTTTAGTGTTTTTGGTACTAGAGGTCGAAGGGGAGTGGTTTCCCAAGTCACAAATGTCTATGTGCCGACGGAAAATGAGCATAGAGCAAGGCTTTGGGAAGATTTAGCAAAGGCAAGAGGTTCCTGTGTTTGTCTGTGGGTGATAGGGAGTAACTTTAATGTTGTTAGATTTGTTGAAGAGAGAAGTGGGGGAAGCAGAAGGTTGAGAGCGATGAAATTGTTTGCAGTTCATCAGTCAATTTATGCTAATAGATTTACCTGAATTCAGATTAGCTGAAGTGCTGAACGCTTTAGCTGTTCAGCAGGCTGTGGAACCATAGATGAGGTTCCACGCCAATAATAAATTCATGGGCTCCACTGTAAAAGATGCGAGCCCCATGTATTTAATCCTGGCATGGAGCCTTATCATTGGTTCCACAGCCCTTTGAACAGCTAAAGTGTTCAGCTAAACCTTGCCCGATTTAACTTCAATGAGAGCTCAATTTACCTAGACAAATAATCAGGAAAATCCTATTTTGGTGAAGTTGGATATATTTTTAATTTCCCCAGGGTGGGAGGATCTCTTCCCGGATCTGAAGTAGGTGGCCCTTCCCTGGCCTGTTTCAGACCATCATCCCATCCTTTCAAATTGAAGAATGCCTGGTTTGAATAATACGACTTCCTCCCTCTTCTGGGGGGAAGTGGCTAGAGCTGCAACTGGAAGTATCAAGCTCTTTTATAATTGACTACGATGTGTTTCTTCATAAAACCATTAAAATATATTAATTTAATATATGTACACCTCATTGAGGCGTTATATTTAGTGTTATAGATGTAATTTTTATGATTTATTAAAGTATTTATTATGTTTCCATGCATATCTATGTGTATCTTAATTTTTCTCCGATACACATATGTATCCAAGGTGTATCCCGATACGTCTCTTAAAATTGCCTTTTCGATACACTTGGCGTTTCCGATGCTTTGAACCTTGGGGTGGGGGTTTGCAGATTAGTGACTTTTGTCAATAAGGATCAAAAGATAGATTAAGAATACAGGAAAGGAGCTCCAACCTCTGCTACACTGGGAAGATGTAAGATTGATTTTATTCTACTCTCCAATATGATCTGATATTTGTATGTCTAGTCTACATTCAGGTCAAGTGTAGACTTGGTGAAAGATACTCTGAATATGTATTAGTAGGAGTTAGTGTTATACGGTATGACATTGATATTTTAAGTTTTAATTTGATGCAAATTAGATTTAAATGATATTAATTTTATATTATCATATTTTTTTTTATATTGAATGAATCAAGCTGTCAAATAGGAGAGTCAGACCATTCGATCTGTTTCCCAGTGACCAACATGGTTTTGCATATGGTCTGAGTCCTAAATCACTGGTTTTTTGTCAAAGATAGTCCTTAATTTC